CCCTGCAGCTCAACCCAACCCACCTCTGCTCTGGGAGCTGCTGCTCTCACTGCCCGGGTCCTTACTGGGAGCTGCTGCCTTGAAACCTCAATCCAGGAAAGAGCCATTAACTGAAGTGATAAGGAACCCAAAAGTACAAAGGAAGAAAGTCTTAAGTCATTAAAAGGCTGTTTTTAAGACATGTGCATTGTGAGCACAAAAGCGTGGCTGGCCAAAGATCTGTCTCCTAAATGGTTAAATCAGACACTCAAGTTTGACTTTTTTCCCCAGAAGCAGCATTTCCTCTGTCAGAGTCAAACCCTCTCAGCAGCGTGTTCTGCTCAGCAACGCTGCCGCCGGGTCATGGGAAATTCACTCTCTGGACAATCTCACTTCCCAGCCAGGCCACTGTTAGCTCGGCCTTGCCCCACCAGCGTGCCCGGCCTGTGGAGCAGGGGACCCAGAGCTGCCCCAGAGCTGCCTGGAGTACACACTGGGTATTTTAGACTCAGGTTCTGCCCTCCCAGAAACCTGAGCTGGCAACCTTGGGCTAAAACTCAAATCGTGGCCACATCTACCAGACACTTAATGCAACCCCTCGCTCTCCTGCCTGCCAGGAGAATTCCTGAATCTGCTACTGGGGTCTGGGGGCTTTTGGTGGTTCTGCAGTCATCCCGGGGAGGCGCCACACCTGTGAGCTGCTGGCCAGCTGACCAGCCTGCTCCCCCATCCTGCTGTGCCAGGGCCCACACTGACGGACCAAGGCCCCCACTCCACAGCTGGCACCCCGCAGACACCGAGGGGGTCACGTTTCCAGCTGGGCTGCAGCTCCACACACACCACTCAGAGAGGACGTGCAAATCTTCTGCACTGCCTCCACCTCCGTCTCTACACGCCCCTCTGGCCCAGACAAAAACCAGTTCCCCCACCCTTCTTTCTGGCCACTGTGGTTCGCCAGCGGCCAGGACTCACCTGCAGCTCTTTCGAGCCTGACCATTCTTGCCCTGCCATGCCCAGTGGGTGTGTGGGATCTCCAGGAGTGAGGAGATCCACCCCCGGGGGCAGCCTGGCCAACGGGCTGCTCGAGGCAGAGCCGAGTCCTCTCCAGCTCCTCTCCAGCTCCGCTCCTCGGCAGAGCCTCAGCAGGGCCCCCAGCCCCAGCAACGCCCTCCCCAGCCAGGCAGTGGCAGGATTCCCACAAATCTTTTAAAACTACAGATAAAGCTTCCATAAGGACAGAAGTGTTTCTAGTTCAGTGAAATGAAAGCAAAATAAACTGTGCTGGACTAGATTTTTTCAGTAATGAAAAGATGTTGATTTTGGTAACCATGGATTTAGACCCCACGGCCAGAACAGGTGGCCAGCTTAAAAATGTAGGAATGGTTCCTGCCTGCTTCGGTTTCCCAGCTGGGTTTACAACCAGCACCCCAGGAAAGGCTGTTGCTGTTTGGGAAAAACTGAGGCGATTCTTTCAGCCATGGGACTACCTCATGGCTTCTACCTGGACCAGCCCCTGCAGACCATGGTCAGAGTGAGCTGCTCCCCACCATTACCTGATGTAGGCTGCGTTTGGCCTGCAAGGCAGCGTTTAGCTTCTCTTCCTGCTTCACTCTCATTTTAACAACTTCATGGAGGAATTTTTCTTTGGCTTCTTTAGTATCTAGGCCACTGTCCAGGGCCTGCCTGAGGTGCTCCAGCTCAGCTTCCAACCCACTGCTGTGAGAGTCAGGATGTGCTGCAGCCTCGTAGGAACTGTTGACTGGGACTGGGGCTTGCATCCCCGGTGAGCTCATGTCCTTTGCAGAGCTGGATGAAGTAAAGGATGGGGAGGAGAGCGAGGATAAGGAGGAGGTGACTGAAAAACAGAAACAGTGAAAATTAATTGAAAATGTCTAAAACTAACAGAACTCAAAAATATGCTGTGGCTCTTTTCTACAGAGGAGATACTCAATGGTCAATGACAAAAATTGAAGAAACAAAATACTCGTTGTATATTTTGATACTTGAAATGTGATGAAAATGCAAAACCAGCTGGCTTCAGGGACTAACTCACAACTTGCCTGAATTGTGACTTTGGATTTCATGTCCTAGGTTTTCTCCATGGGTGTGAAGAAACAGATTTCTTCAGGGAAAACTACATGAACCTGCTATTCTCAGTGGGTAAACTTTCTTTTTGCATGACCTGCACACTCTGAGCAAGGACTGAACACTCTGAGAAGGACTGAACACGCTGAGGGCAGTGGCACAATTCTCTCAGAGATGTTACTGAGGTGACACCAGCGTCTGTCCTTGTCTTTGGCTGCGAGGCCCAACTGTTCAAGAACCTGAGCTCCTGAGCTCTGCTTTATGTGTCCAGCTCCACAGATGATGCAGTGCTGAAAAGGTGTGAGCACATCCTGTGACACAGAATTCCACACTTGCATTGTCTGTGTGCTCTGGAGTTCCTACAGGCTCCACGTGTGTCTCCCAAAGGCTCTTCTAGCAGGCTCTTGATCAGAGACCGACCCCTCAGTTTCCCTGTGAACCCCACCCACGTTCTGTCCCCTGCACAACACTCGCCTGCTTGATAAAAAAGGCTCCAGCTTAGTGGACACCCGTGCTTTGGGTGCTTCTTTCTGCTGATGCATGTTCCTCTCCCATGAACCCCCCTCCCCCAAACTTATGTTCCATTCTTGGGTTCCATTAATACTTAAGGTTGTATTTTTACATCCCTTTGAGGTATCTGGCTTCCAGAATGATACTGAAACACAACAGGAGTTGAACAGCTAACTCCTGAGGAAACTCCAGCACAAATAAACCAAACTGAGGGCAGAACTGTCACTTACATTCTTCCCTGGTTTCTACTTCAATTTCTGCTTCCGATTCCTTCTCCTCTTCGGGGGCAGTGACAGTGGCCACGGCAGGGGCCGGTGGCTCGGGGCCAGCCGTGTTCTCTGCGGGCAGCTTCCTCCTCCTGGGCTGTGTGGAGGGGCCCAGGGGCTCGCTGCCCCGCGGCACGGCCGTGGCACAGGGCGGGGCACTCACCACCTTCTGCTGCGCGGGCGGCGCCAGCGCCACGTTGGGCGCCACCGCGCTCTCGAAGCTCTTGTAGGAGTAAAAGCTGGTTCAGAGGGGGAGGCAAAGGAAGGACAAAACGGTCATCACCTTGGCTTCAAAACCCCTAACCCACGTGCTACGCTGGAACTGCACGGCACGTCCTGCACGGGCAGGGACGTTCCACTGCTTTACACCCGCTGAGAACCTGCCCGTGGATCTGCTAGTGTTGGGCACTCCTTCAAACAAGGAGATGATTTAAACAGCCACCCTCCACCCCGTTCAGAGCGGATCCTACTCGAGCGCCACATACTCTAAGAGCACCAAAGGAACTCTCAGAGTCTAAAAATTACAGTGACGCCTCCTCACCATCTTCATACGTTGTTCTTTTACCTAACTGGACAGTTTTACTTCTGTCTTTCCACAAATGTTCTGTAAACTCGGAAATGGCACTTCCTTAAGAAAGGCCACAGAGTGCAAAAAGCGTATTCTGGTGTGTCCTTGGTTTTTCTGACACAGTCTCCACGCAAGAGCACGTCTGTAAAACCACAGTTAAAGACCCAACAGACCTGTGTGTGTTAAAGGACAGCAAGGCTGTAACGCCAAATACATAGAACTTTGCAAAAAACGTAGCAATGACTGTCTTTGCAAGTTCAATCCAGCATCTACTACATGATGTATACATATTAAAATTTCTCCTAGGTCTGTTGAAGGTGTTTTTTTCTTCCCAAGACTTAGGTTGGCCAGATTTCTCACAGGGATACCAAGGGCATGCCCTTATACCAGTTCAGCCCTTCTCCTCCTACCTAATTTAAGTCTGTTCCAAATCAAGTCTCTTCCAAATCAATGATATGCTGAAAGGGTTTTTTGCTTGTCTTTCTTTTCCTTTCCTTGTTTTTGGTTGTTTTTTTTTTAAATCAATCCCCACAGCTTCTAAAAAACTTGTTCATCAGGGCAGCAGAATACATTCTCTGGAACGCGCCCTGAAAACACCTGACCACTGTGGTCAAACTTTCCAAAGAAATCATTACCCTTAGGCAGAAATCTGGCACAAAGATTTTTCAGGCTGAAGGGTTCCAGAATGTGTAATTGCCCTGATGCTTTCCATTCTGTGACAGCAGAAGTCCCACCTATTATGGGTGGTGACTCATTCGTGTACCAGTTTGATTACGTTCCCCTCCAAGAGCAGGATCTGGCTGACAACATCAGCCTTCTGATGGCTCTTACAAGCTGAGGAGGGTTCCACAGGCTCTCCTGCCCCGTGGGCTCTACCATGACCCCCAGGA